ATACACGTTCATACAAATAAATACATTCATACACATAAATACATCCATACAGTACACTCATTCCGTTTGGTCGGTGGAGTACTTGATATTCCTCCACCGACCTACACTTAAACTAAACTAGATTGGGGTCGATGGGGTACTTTTATAAATATTCCGCCATCGACCCCGAACACACACTCACCCGCTTTCATCGTTCGAGGGGCGATGATGACGTTATATTCACCCTCACCCCTCGCCATTCACGCTAATAAATACATGCACACAGACAAAACATATAGACACATAACACATAAGACATACTATATACAATAAAAAACCCCAATTTCCCCTAAAAAGCGGAACAGGGGACTCTGAAACTCGCTACCATGCTCGAGGACTCTTCTTAAATCCGGCGGCATGCCTACACGCTCTCTGTATGGAGCCAAGGCATGACACGCCTCTATTATGTGGGACACATCGAGCAACCTTTCTCTGCATAAAGGGCACCTGCGCGGGCTTTGGCCCAAAAGCAGGTGCCCATGTGTCAACCGAGTATGGCCAATCCTCAGTCGGGTGAGGACGATCCCTCGTCTCCTGCTCAGATTCTCTGAGGGCCATCTACCGGTCGTGCTCTTGACTCGCAAGAGCCTCTCCGACGACCCCGCCCACTGACGCTGCCATCTTTCTTTTATCATATTTTTAACTGCGTGTTTAGCGTCAGGGGGCCTGATCACGATGGTCCGATCTGGAGGGTGGGACGTACCGGCTTTCGCCGCCTCGTCCAACCTTAGCTATTCGTAAGTTATAAGCATTTTTTCAACTTATAACGTGCTCAGAGATACAAAATCGTAATATAAACCATTCCTTGTTATTGCGTGTTCAATGAATGTTTTATGAGCCCTTTTTATGGAGGCCAGTTCTTTTGGAACAAAGTCCAAAAATTATAAAGTCGAGTAAATAATTTGATATTTATTATATTTCAAATTGACCACAATTTGAATTATCAAGCGGAAAGAAAAAAATATTAATATGGATATGGTAAACGAAATATTTACTGTTTTAAAAAAGTTTTATATACGTTATGATTTTATTTTAATCTTTAGCATTTAATCTTTTAAAACGTATAATCCAGAATAGAACATATCATTTCATAAGGTCGTTTTGTTAGTATAATTTATAATATTGCCCCCCCCAAAAAAAAAATTTATATGGACATTCCATTGGTGGTTTTTACTGAAAAACACATACATAAATGTATCTTATTTTGTGAATTGAATGATGCTAATAACAAGTCCTTATATCCTTGATCGTATCTGAGAAAATGAGGATTAAAAGTTGTTTTCCAGATGTAGGAGAACGAGTTTATCTTCCACCGAGGCAAACGGGCAAACTTCACAAACCGCACAAAGCTTTTAGCGAATCGGAAAGTTAAATTTTCATTACTGTAACTCCAAGTATATGGTATTTGCACAAGGGATCTCGGTGTACTGAAAATTACTCAATTGCCATATTGAAGGTGGCGAACCTTTCAGCCCTAAAAGCATAGCTATAAATCAAGATCCCAACTCGCAGAATACAGTTCCATGTTTATTCAATGCCGCGCGTCGCGATTTTGAACACTGAGATTTATTCCACGAGGTTTTTCAACGATCGATGTACCTTAAACAAATATAATTTTACGATTGAAATCGCAAGGGATGTATTATATTTGTCATACTATATACCATTTGTTCATTGCATATTTATTTTGTCCAGAAAGCAATAAAAAAAACTATTCAAATGTTTATCTGTCAGTTTTTATTATTATATCTAGAGGAGTAATAGTATTTTTGTTTTTGGAAGCGTTGCTATTAATCTAGTCAGAAGGGGTATTCATGATGTTTAAAATGTGTCGATGTTTTTGGTAAATTTAGTGTAAATGTATACGTGTATAGCCTATTGTGTATAGAATAACCAGATGGAGGTTATAATTCTGATATATGTAGAATGGACAGGTGTTCGTCTGGTTCAGTAAACCCAATTCTTATTTTATGTTGGTTCAAAATAAACTATGCTTTCAACGAGCCGAGGTATGACAAGCTTCTATTATATGAGACACATCGAGCAACCTCTTTGCATAAGTAGAAGCATATATTTGTTAGCTTTGCAAGTTATTAATATGGAATAGTTAATAATTTTTCATGTAGGGTATGTGTTTACCAGGATTAGTTATAAAAATAGAAATCCTGATGGAGGTTATGATTTACACCCCGAAGCACACTCGCCGATGTGCGACCCTAGGTCTATACATTTATATGGCTAGTCCTTAACCCAGGATCGTTCCTAACCAGCGGGGGATTTGGACAACTAGGGCAATGCAACGTGCACCGTGTGCAAACTGCATCTAGTGTAATACAATCGCACAAATAAATATATTCATACATTCCACTCATTCTAATTAGTCGGTGGAGTATTCGATATTCCTCCAGCGACCACAACAGGGGTATTCTCGATGTTTGTAAGATGTTAACTCATGTTAACTGGAATACAGAAATGTCCAGTAAGATCGTGAATGCCCCCTTCTTTTCTTAGGAGGGTAAAGGTTAATTTTTCCGCAATGCTGCGCGTGGCGATTGGTAGAACCAAAAATAAAGCCATAACAGTCCTCGAAGGCTTGTTGTTGGTTGTTCAGGTTTTGTTTTGAGGTAAATTGTAAGATGCCAGAAGTTAATAGAAAAGGAAAATTAATCAACTCTTTCATTCAAAATGCTATCTATGCACTCGAAAAGTACTAACAAATGACACGCTTCAATTCGTGCCGACATACATAACTTGTATCCTAACCTCTAACAGCCTACAAGTTTATACGATAGGGGATGTATATACTATGAGAGTATACGGACAGGTCAGAAATTAATAAAAGAAATACATTGGTCTTATATAATTAAATAATAATAATTAAATAATTAAAATAATAGGGGTATTCACGATTTTTGTAAGATGGTAACCCGAATAGAGAATGTCCAGTAAGATCGTGTTAAACGTTAATTTTTTCACAATGCTACTCGTGGCGATTGGTAGAACCAAAAATAAAGCTATAATAGTCGATGACGGTTTGGTGTTTTTTTTTTTTTTTTTGGTTTTCTTTTGTGTTAAATTGTAAGATGCCAGAAGTTAATAAAAACTGAATCTTAATCAACTCTTTCATTCAAAATGCTATCTATGCACTCGACAAGTACTAACAAATGATACGCTTCAATTAATGCCGACATACCTAACCTGTAACCTAAGGTCTAACTGCCTACAACTTTATAATATATGAGATGTCACCTTTTATGAATGAGAGTATAAGGACAGGTCAGAAATTAACAAAAGAAATGTACTGGTCTGGTTGAATTTATACTTTTTTAAGAATAAAAAGACACGTAAACAAAAAACAGCTGTTTAATTCATTGCTGCCATGTTGGTTACCTACGCTCTAACGGATAGCAATGTAACTACATTTTCGACCTTACATCTAACATTGGCACTGGCCTGTTAGATTGAGCAATGTTAACTAGCTGATTTTTACAAATCTCTGTCATAATTTTTCTCGATCTAACAAGACCTAACAGAGTTAACAGGGTTAACACAAAGATCGTAAATACCACTAACTCTAACACTCACAGCCTTGAAACATCTACACAGAAAACACACACTTTGAGTGATCATAAATACTTTGATTAAAACTAAAATTTCTATATTGTGTACATCATCGTATACATTAATTTTTACATCTCGCATTTAAATAATTTAAACAATTTTTGTGATTCCCAGGCCACGTAGATCATCAAAGATCAAAGAAAATGTTTTTCTAAACCTACTTCACACCAGACCGCATCTCACGATCTCTAAATAATCGCATGTTTATCTTCCCTGTTTCTGCCTGACGCGACAATTTAGCCAGTATTTTATTCATTTTTTGAAGACCCCGTTTGTTCATGTCTTCCCTTCTTAAATTTCAATGGGTGCTTCTTTAACGTAAATATTGTTTTTGTTTTATTCATAGTCAATTTTGACCGATAACCATTATTTAATGATTTTTAACAAGCAACGGTAATAAAAAATAAGTGGAAATATTAAAATGCTGATGAACTTATTTACCCCTAATACCAATAAACTAGTCTAAATTAAAGTCGACTTTTATAAATTTTCCGCCATCGAAACAAACCTGTTGGATGCATGTTTACCCGCTGTCTGTAAGGCGCCATGGCATGACAAAGTTCCCTCTTATGTTGGACACATCTGCAAAAGATGTGACAGTTGTGAATTTTATTGATAATTTCATTTTACTTGAAACCTACTATTTCAAACTTATAGATTTGCATTCATATTAAAGTTTTCCATTAATTATTTAAGTTTCAAAGATCTGATCTAGGGTTCTTCAAATTGTCCTTGTAAAAAAAGCCATGTTCATTTCCTTTTCATCTTGTAAATACAACTAGTTGTGAAAAATGTACCAATTTTTGGGCATTTGTTTAAATTTCTTTATTAAATCTATCAGTACGACACATAACAAACACTTAGCCGGGGGATTTACTCCCAAGTTGCATCAATTAGGCGGATTGCTTCCAGTTTGTTCGACGAAAAAATTAACTAACAGTCTATTGTCCGTCCAGATTTCCAATTCTACCCACAGGGATGCGTCGTCAGCTTAGGAAAAAAATGGCTTTCCGTTGGAGCCGAGGAGCAAACAAATGCGATCAAGGGAAAATTGGACAATAGGTCCGGATATGGACAAAGAAGGTGGGGGGGCAATATGTCCGGCTGGATTAGAAAAGCGTCATTCCGGGATTCTTGTCGCCAAGACAAAAGTCGTATAAATGGATTTATTAACTTCTACAAAATAGCCAAGGACTGTTTTCTAAAAAAAAGCCTAAATAGCTTGAAAAAATGCAAAAGATTCAGTGTAATTAAATGCACTGTGATATTGTATATTTCATATTTCTTATCACAAATACAATTGTTTAAAAAATTTGCTAATTGATGATGTCTATTTTTAGGTACAACAAGGGGAAGATCTCAAAGGGTCACAATGAAGGTAAGTTAATTTACTATAATTAGTTAAGCGTTCAGTTAATTTGTTACATTACATAAAGTTGAAAATCGATCTTCTGTAAAGGTATATATATATATATATATATATTGTTCACCGCTCCTCACGAATCCAACATATTATTAAACAACCGGTCACTAAAACGAAATACATACTTCTGTAAAAGATTATTTAGGGGACTAATAAAAACATGAATTCTATGTAGTTTTCAGTTTGTGTTTCTTGTTAGTCTGGTTTGCCCTATTTGCAATTCACCCTAGTAACTCGCCCATCGCATGATATTTCATTTAGCATTTACACGTATGACATGTTAATTGCTACATTTTCGACGCGGAGATATTTACACAATAGAATATTTCACTTGGATTAGGCACTTTCTAAGAAATTTTTGCTAAATAGTTTTGTGAATAATTGATAGAAAATTTTCTTATCGATGTCATATGAGGAGGTTTTTGAACAGGAAAACATAAATCTAATTTATCTGGGAAATTTTTTTATATAAAATAACCGGGCAGTCTCAACACGACACACAAAAATGACACAATTACGCAGAAATCAAACGCTTTGAGCACTGAAGATGATCTCAATAAAGATCGTAACGTTGGCACGGTAGAGAAAATATTTTTCTAAAACTTACGTCACACCACACCGCATCTCACGATCTTCAAATAATCGATATTTTTATTATTACTGAGAAAGATAAGTTATCGAAAACTCAAATTGATTAAACTGTTTTTTTCTTTCTTAAAATAATACATCGATGGTCAAAATTAACCCACCACCCTTAAATTTTAATGTATTTAGGTTTATTCATATTTTTCATACCAAAAATTGGTTTGGTATTAAAAAATAAGTCTTTTAAAAACGAAAATGTTTATTACCTAATATTAAAAATACCATTATTGAGAACTGATCATATTTTGTATTGATTTTTAACAAATTTTCTTCAAGTCCTACAAATGTATACATACATATGTAAATAACATACAAAAAGTAACCTACACGAACTTATAAATATTATTTTTTTTATCATTATGTTAACATAGCATTATGTTAAACAGATATAAAGATCGTAAGACTTTTGATGTACGAGTGTCTTTTTTTCCGAATATTTATTTTCTTCTAATACAGACGAAACAGGAGATGAGAAAGTCGAATAAACGTCTTTATCCACCGGCTCGTAAGTTCAGATCAGCCTGTTTGTAATTAACGTAAAAGTAAGCAAGTAATTTTATTAAGTCCGCTGACGGCCTAATATCCCTGATTACTTCGGCCACCAGGGTAACAGATTCCATATTAATGGAACTTCCAGAAAGGCGATAGTCTGATTGGAAATGCAGCAAACGTTCATGTTCGAATAGGGTAGAAATGTTTAACAGGTTTTCATTTTTGTTCTATTTCATCGGGCGAACTTTTCCTTCCTCCTATCATCATAAACTTTCATTCCGGTCGTCCCGTCTCTTATCTGGGGGTCTGCCGAGTGTCATGCAGTGTCATGCTGTCACATTCTCAAGACTTACGCTTGCAGTTCGGTCCTTATTATTAGGAGCCAGTTCCGCGGTGATCCCATGGCACACGTAATTCTACTCTCTACTTGAAAACATAGCAGCTTTTCTTCTTCCATCACTTCATCCTGACTTCTTTTAAGGATGATAACTGTGATATGCATGTACATATGCACGCACGGTACGGAGTTGAGATTATCATTTCATGCAGTAAAGCGGTAATTTCAGCTTTTGAATTTTACAATGAATAAACGCCCAGCTGCGGAGGTTATCACCAGCCTCAACGCAACCCATTCACACCACCCCTCACCCTTAAATCCAGTCTTTCTTTTTTAGTTATCACTCACTCTTAGGATGGTGGAATACTAGATATTCCTCTATCACTCTTATAACTGTCATATAACTAATCTAATTGAGGGTCGATGGGATATTCAATATTCCGCAATTGGCCCTCTGACACTACACTACCACGATAATAAATACATTCACTCTTAACACTCGCCAGTGACACTGAAATATTATTTGACTATGTACAATAAAACTACCCTATATCTTCCAGGAATTGAAGCACGGACCCAGATACTAAAGCACAATTCTCATATCGGGTGGAATCGAGGAATTTATGTCTATTTATTCCTCGAGTCGATTGGTGGTGCGGATGTTATGCGGATTTGAAAAAAAAATCCTACATGTATTTGTAAAATTTAAACAATGTTTATAAATCCCAGGTCCTGAAGATGATCTCAATAAAGGTCGAAAAGTTGGGACGATAAAGACAATGGTTTTCTAAAACCTATGTCACACCAGACCGCATCTCACGATCTCCAAATAATCATTAACTAATGGTCACTAAACACCACAGAAAATATCAATTTTTGATGTAAATCACAAAACAGCTGCACTCATTAAATTGTTTTATATAGTTTTTCGTGTCCTGAATAGGAAGCAGAGAACACAAAAAAGTTACTTACAAGATCATTAAAGAGAAGTAACCCTTGGAATAATAAAATTTGAATAATTGGAATTAATATTAGAATAATATAATTTGGAATGATTAAAATCATAATTAATTTAAGTTAATTAGTTGATGAATGTACTATTTGTTTGATACAAATAAAGTTTTTCAAAGGACGACGCTAGGTGAACGAGTTTTTAACGGATTTTGATTTTGTTATAATTTCTCTGTCAAATTATTATTAAATAAGGGTTTCTACATATTTCTCAAACTTTTACTGTTAAAATTGTGGTTATACTTACCGAAATCCACATTGCTATAATACAACAGGCCGGAAGTAAGCCACTACGTTGCTTGTTTGTTATTCACATGCCATCGATGAATTGGCTTGCAGAAAAGACCTCTAACAACGCTGCTACCATAACACGATACCCATTTTAACACAGATGTCCAAGAGCATAAAAGTGTACTTTAAATTGCTTAGAGGTTTTTAAAATCATGGGAGTTCATATAAAATGAAATTCTGTCGCGTTACTGTGGCATGTTCAGCTTAGCATTGAATTAAAACGTTTCGTAATACTGAAAGTAAATTGATCTTATTCCGCCTTTTTCTTATGAAGAAGTGAATTTGTATTTACATCAATACCGTTGATTAATATTTAGTTAATAATTGTTAATTTCCTGGACAGTTATCTGAAACCTGGTCGTTATCGATCATCCTTTCTCTGATGTTTATTAGCCAGCCACATATATTTTAAGATTTATAGGTTTCATTTTTTACACAGGACAACTAATTTTTTATAAGTTTAGAGCATTTTCTATTACAAATTGGAAAAGTGCTATTCCTTCTTAAATCAAAGTTTTAAAATCCGTTTAAAGTGTAAATTCAGATTTTGTCTTGATGCCCGAACCATTTACTCCACTTCTTTTGTGAGGTCATACAGATGTCATTTTCGTACGCTTTGTCCTTTATTGACTGTTGTGAGATATGTGGTGTATCGAACCATTTTGTTACTACGATCTATGTTGGACTAAAAGTTTGAGAGAGAGAGAGAGAGAGAGAGAGAGAGAGAGAGAGAGAGAGAGAGAGAGAGAAAATCATGAAACTGTGTATAAATATAAGATTAACTTGACAAAAATCAAATAAAAATAAAGAAGTTAATTTCTACTTACTTAGAGCATAATTTACAAAAAAATTTACAAGTGCAGGCGAGCAAGACCAGATTATCAAACACTTCTAACAAAAAGAATTGCTATACGAGGTATCATTTTTCAATTTACATTGATTTACAGGAACAAATTTTGTATATAATTAAAGTAAAACATTATTAAACTTAAACTATACATGTTTACATTCATATGAAGAAACATTTTTGTACTTTTTAATTTTTTATATACTGAATTTAATTTACAACTTCTAAACTTTACAATCTGTCGTTTTTTACATATCTAGATTTTTTAAATGACTATATTTTTGAGTTTTTGAATTTCAGTCGGTAAATTTGAGAACACTTTTGCCCCTTTAACTAAACAAAAAATTTCTAACCATTTTAGTCTTACGTTTTATAAGGATATTTAAAATATTTATTATAACCAGGATATTTATATTCAGAGATTTCAGCTTATGAACCTCACCTTTAATTTTGATCTTCTCATACAATGATGTTTTTTTTTAAATTTTATTATTTTTAACATTATTTATTAACATCTAACTTTGGCCCAACCCTGTTAGATCGAGCAATGTTAACTAGCCGATTTTTACAAATTTACGTCATCATTTTTCTCGAGTTAACAGGGTTAGCACAGAGATCGTGAATAACCCTAATTTAAGGAAACACTAGTAATAGAACTATACAGTGTTTTACTTTACAATCATCTTTTGAAAAGCTTAGTACATTTTTAAAACTCAAATTACAGAATTCATTTTAATTTTAATAGTCATTTGTTAACATAAATTCCAAATATTTAGAGAGAGAGTGAGAGGGGGGAAAGTTTAATAAAACGAATGCCAATCTAATATTTTTTTTTTAAATATTTCTTCTTCCTGTTCGATGGGAAGCTTGCTATAAGTAAATGAAAAAAATTGAAAAAAGATGATTGGACTGGAGGGAGAAAAGACGTAACTATTGTCAGTTCTTCACACGTCCCCAGCACGCACCCACATATCTTCGGTTGTTGCTTTTTAAGTCAGCTTCATATTGAGTACGCCCGTCAGGATCTAGTTCAGTTATCTACAAGCAGATGCACCCTTTTTAACAGGACGTCGCAGCGCAAAATTTGTTTTTTTTTCTCCTTTGCAATGTATATTGGTTAACTATTTACATGTTTCAAAACCGGCCCGGAGGACCAAAAATAAACAATTTATAAGAAACAAACGATATATGTTTATATTTTACTGAATAATCTCAATAAAAATGATGATGAGGGGACAGCGTTGAAAAACGATGTGATATTTGTTTAGAAGGAAATAACTTAGTTTTTCAACAGACATTTTAAATAGTATATTTATTGTTTTAAAGTAGTTT